AAAAGAGAAGAGAAGAGAAGAGAAGAGAGAAAAGGAAAGAAGAGAGAATGGAAGAAGAGATGAAAAAGAAAAAGAAGAAGAGAAGAGAAGAGAGAAAGAGAAGAGAGAAGGGAAGAGAAAAGAAAAGAGAAAAGAGAAGAGTGTAAGAATGAAAAAGGAAGAGATGCAATTCGAAGAGAACTAATCATAGCGATACAGAAAACACACATCCATGGTAACGCAACATCAGACAACGCCGCAGACCAGTAAGCAGATGTTTACAGAAAAAGATATCTGTAACTTTGAAAAAAAGGAAATCGAGTTGGATATTGAAACTTGACTCCTTTCTGATAACTTTCTTGGTGTGTCGCGTATTTTTCTTGATTGTGGAGACGAGAGAGGGGGAGAAGGGAGGGAAAGGGAGGAGGGAGAGGCAGAGAGAAGGAAGGAGGAAGGAGCGGAGACAGAGAGAGAGGGAGAGGGAAGGAGGGAGGGAGGGAGGAGGGAAGGGAGGGAGGAGGGGAATGGAGGGAAAGGAGGGAGGAGGGGGAAGGAGGGATGAGGGAGGGAAGGGAGGAGGAAGGAGGGAGGGAGGGAGGAGGAGGGAGGAAGGGAGGGGGAGGGAGAAGGAGGGAGGGAGGAGGAGGGAAGGAGGGAGGAGGGAGGAGGGAAGGAGAGAGGGAAGAGAGAGAAGGAGAGAGGAAGAAGGGAGAGAGGAGAGAGAGAGAGAGAGAGAGAGAGAGAAGAGAGAGAGAGAGAGAGAGAGAGAGAGAGAGAGAGAGAGAGAGAGAAGAGAGAGGAGAGAGAGAAGAGAGAGAGAGAGAAAGGGAGAGGGGAGGGAGGAAAGAGAGAGAAAGTGATTGGAGTTAAAGTGGTATAGATAGAGATAGAGAGGGAGAGGGAGAGGGGGAGGAGGAGGAGATGGAGAGGGGGAGGAGGAGGAGGGAGGGAGTGGAAAGAGAAGGAGAGGGAGAGTGAGGAGGGAGGGAGAGGGAGATGGAGAGGGAGGAGGGAAGAAATTGAAATAGAGAGATAGGAAGAGAGGGTTAATAGATAAGGTGGTATATGTAGAAAGATAGAAAAAGAGGGAGACTGAGAAAAGGAGAGAGAAAATGGGGTATAGGAACAAAAAGAGAAAAGGGTAACAGGGAGAGTCAGAGCGTCTAGGTGAGAGAAAGAAGGAAAATCGAGATGGAGATAGATAAAACATAAACAGAAAAATAGACAAAGAGAAAGATTCGCAGAAATGAAAAAGAGGGAGATTTAGATAGAGATAAGTGGAGAAAGATGAAGGGAGACTGAGGTAGACAGAGATAGAAAAAGAGGGAAATTTGAGATAGAGTGAAATAATGAAAAGAGTTAGAGAAGAGGAAGATTAAGAACGAGAAAGACTCGGATAAAATGAGATAAAAAAAAGCCGAGATAGAGAAGGTGTAGAAACAGGAAGATTGAGATAGAACGAAGTAAAGGAAGAGGAGGATTAAGATAAGAAAGAAATGGAGAGAGACGAAGATGAGATAGAGATAGAGAAAGAGGAAAATTAAGATAAAGAGAGATAGAGAGAAAAAAAAAAAGATTATTTAGAGAGAGTTAGTGTGAAGAGCACCAAGATACAGAGAGATAGAGAAAGAGGTAAATGGTAACAGATAGAATAATAAGGAGAGTGAGATAGAAAGACGAAGAAGAGCAGAGGAAACAAAGAGTAATGCGAAAAGACAGAGTGAAGAAAATTATTGGAAAAATAGAGCGAGGAAAAGAGGAAAAAGAACGAAATGAAAAGGAAAACGTACGAAAGAGAGAGATTACAGAACGAAAGAAAATGGAAAACATGGAGCGAAAGAAGGAAAGAAACAGAAAAAGAGAAAGAAAGAAAACATGAAACGAAGAAAGGAAGGAAGATACGGTACGAAAGAAGGAAGGAAGACATAGAACAAAGGAAGAAGGGGAACATGAAACAAAAGGAAGGAAAACATATAGTAGAAAGAAAACCTGGAACAAGATGAATAAGAAATAGAAACGAAAGAAGAAAAAAGACAATGAAAGAAGGAAGAAAACATGCAATACGAGAATGAAAGATAATAAGACGAAAGGAAAGGGAACATTTATAAATAAGGAAGGAAAACATGGCACGATAAAAAAGCGAACATGGAACAAAAGCAGAAAAGAACAAAACTAAAGGAGAGGGATACACATAGAAAGAAGGAGGGAAGACTTGAAACGAAAGAAAAGGGAACAAAAGAAAGAATAAATCAAAAGGGATACAGATAGAACGAAAGAAAGGGAGCCACAAAACGCAAGAGAAAGAGAAAATGGGAAACGAATCCACGAAAAAGAAAATGGGAAACGAAACCAAGAAAAAAATGGGAAACGAAACGAAGAAAAAAATGGGAAACGAAACCAAGAAAAAGAAAATGGGAAACGAAACCAAGAAAGAAAATGGGAAACGAAACACTATTAAAAAAGAAATGAATAAATGAAAAGATAAACCAATCAACGAATAAGTAAATAAAATGATTAATAAGAGGATAATATTGATGATTGAATGGATGAATAAATAATAGAAATGAATGACTAAATAAATGGGATAGATGAACTGGTAAATGAGATAGATACGCGCATAGACAAATAAGAAAGAATAAACGAAAGAATGAACAAACGCAAAAGACAAAGAAAAGGTAAATAAAAATATTCCACAAGGTTAAAAAACACCTCTTTCCAACAGAACGCGCAACGGTAGTGGATAACGTACGTAATTTACAAATTTCCATATACCAGGTTTTTATTTCTTAACGGAAAATAAAATCAGGGAATTGGTACTTTCAAAATTATTCATAGGATGTTCTCCCACGCTCTTTTGAAGTTGATACTCATAGAAATTCTTATTCAGCCTCCCGCAAGAATTTCTAAAACCGTTATTTTTTATTTTTTTATTTTTTCGTGTCGTTGTGAAGAAAGCTTTCGTTATATTTGTTAGAATTGTGTGGTTTATTTATTTGGTTTTGCGGTCGTGGGTGGAGGGTGATGTAATGTGTAATGAGATGGGTATTTTGATTCGGTAGGTTTATCTTGTGTGATAAATTGAGTATTTTGATTAATTCTATGTAGGTTTATTTAGTTTATTTTCCGGAAGCTGGTACCAACGGTCAATTTTCGGGACCAATTTATAGGTCGTTCCTTATAATAAACGTGTATGATATATGTTTTCGCATTGGGAGACGTAGTGGTCAAACTATCTGTAAAATAAGTGCTCATTACTTATTTCGACCTCAATAATTAATATATTTACTCAAGTTCGGAAAGGAAAAAAAACAGCTCTGAGAAAGAAAACGAGGATAAACACGAGAGAAGAAAATGGAGATTGAAGGGTAGACTATAAGAAACGCTAACATAACCCAAAACCACGGTGAGATATCAAACTATTGTTTTGTGAAATGAAAACAAAATATATAAGCAGATTAAATCATAATATTCTTAAATAATTAATCTGGTGTTCGTATTCTCAACGTTTATCATTAGGATGGGAATAAAGGTAAGTGAATATATCTTTACGGTCGTCTCGTTTTTTTTTTTTCATATTTCTAAAAATCATTGATATTTTTACCTCATGAATAAAATTTTCTGAATGGTAAGCAGGTCTCTGTTTAAAATTAAATGTCCCGGATTTGTTCAAGTGCATATGTAGAGTATGTTATCCACTTGTCCATTTTTTCGAAAATATGATTATTTTTTCCCTGTTATAATCCGTGCTATATAAATATTTATCTGAAATTCGAGTATGTTCTTTTTATTTATTTATTTATTTTCAAATAGAGAGAACTGATAAGTCATGCATCGAAATTTATATTTTTGCTGATGAAAATTATTATTAATGAATTTTATGTAATTATATACAAGACGTAAAACATATGTGATCGTTAACAGTTACAAAATAGTTTTTTTTTGTGACAGTCATGATCGAGATACGTATCAGTATATGTATTTCTTCTTTGGATTATCGATAAGGGGTATCAGTTCGCCATTTTTTGGATTGTGGCACTATTTTGAGACGTTCCTCTCCCTGCTTCTTTATGAACATGTCAAGGGCCTTCTTCTCCTCCTTCTCACATTTCCTCTGCTTTCAAACTTCTTGTGGGACATAATGTCTTGGTCGTCTTTATTTTCTGTCTTTCTGCCTTTGGGTCTTTCTTTGTCTGTCTGTCTCTCTCTCTCTCTGTCTCTGTCTCTGTTTCTGTCTCTGTCTCTGTCTCTGTCTCTCTCTCTCTGTCTCTCTGCTCTCTGTCTCTCTGTCTCTCTCTCTCTCTCTCTCTCTCTCTCTCTCTCTCTCTCTCTCTCTCTCTCTCTCTCTCTTTCATTCCCTCCCTCCCTCCCTCCCTCCCCCCTCCTCTCCTCTCTCTCTCTCTCTCTCTCTCTCTCTCTCTCTCTCTCTCTCTCTCCTCTCTCTCTCTCTCTCTCTCTCTCTCTCTCTCTCTCTCTCTCTCTCTCCTCTCCCTCTCTCTCTCTCTTATATATGTGTCTCTCTCTCTCTCTTCTCTCTCTCTCTCTCTCTCTCTCTCTCTCTCTCTCTCTCTCTCTCTCTCTCTCTCTCTCTCTCTCTCTCTCTCTCTCTCTCTCTCTCCTCTCTCTCTCTCCCTCTCTCCCTCTCTCCCTCTCTCCTTCTCTCCCTCTCTCTCTCTCTCTTATATATGTTTGTGTGTGTTAGTATAGTTTTTGAATCTAGGCTATTCATGTCGAATGACTCTGCCATCTGAGTTATAGGGGCATGGATAGTTATCTCATCAGGAAGAGCACACCATTCCTAAATCCCAAATATTCCACCGAAACAAGAATAAGATAATCTATCACAACCACAACTACGATACACGCCGAGAGTAAAATACTCCCTAGTCACAGATACGACCATAAAATCCCCCATTTCGCGATTTTCCGCAGTATGGGCTTACACGTCACGTCTCATAGAAAACGGGAACGTGGGGGGTGGGGCAGGGGGAGGAGTGGACCGCCGCTGCCTCGTGGTCCGTGGCAGTGGTGGTGGGAGTGACAGTGGGGAACAACGCACTCCGGCACTCTCGCTCGCTCGCACTCCCTCCGTCGGTGTTGGCGCACTCCCCTTTGCCTGGAGTTCCAATGTGAGGGGGGAGAAGTTGGAACTGTGTGCGAGATATGGATTTATCTTTTTTTTTTGTTGTTTTTGTTTTTTAAAGTGCTGGAGATACGAAGGAGGCGTTTTGACTTTGCCTGTTTGTTTTCGTTATCTGTCGGTTGATATGTGGATAATGCATTATCATATCAATACCTGGGATCTGCTCCTCGAGTGCCAGCGGGAATTAATGATAAACCTGTTGTATATGTGCGAATACTTAAACGCACACACACACACACACAACACACACAGTCGCGCGCGTGCACACGCACACACACACTGTCGTGCGCGTGCACACGTACACGTACAAACAAGCACACACACACACACACACACACACACACACACACACACACACACACACACACACACACACACACACACACACACACACACACACACACACACACACACACGTACACACACGCACACGTGCACATAGACACACATTCACACACACACACACACACTTACACTTACACACTCACACACACTTACACACTCACACGCACACTACACACTTACACGCACACGTACACACTCACACGCACACGTACACACTCACACGCACACGTACACACTCACACTCACACGTACACACTCACACTCACACGCACACGTACACACGCACACACTCACACACCACACACTCACACGCACACACACACTCACACGCACACGTACACACTCACACTCACACGTACACACTCACACGCACACGTACACACTCACACGCACACGTATACACTCACATGCACACGTACACACTTACACTTACACTTACACACACACACGCATACACACACCACTCACACACACGTGTGTGTGCATATATATATATATATATATATATATATATATATATATATATATATATATAATATATATATATATATATGTATAAACCCACAATGCACAAACAAGATTTATTGAAGAAATTGTACGTGTGTGTATGCATATATACATTTATAATATACATACATATATATATATATATATATATATATATATATATATATATATATATATATATATATATATAAGTATATGTACACACGCACACGCACACGCACACGCACACGCACACGCACACGACACACACACACACACACACACACACACACACACACACACACACACACACACACACACACACACACACACACACACACACACACACACACATACACATACACACACACATACATATATATAATATATATATATATATATATATATATATATATATAATATATATATATATATATATATATATATATATATATATATTATATATATATATATATATATATATATATATATATATATATATATATATATATGTATATATATGTATGTATGTAATATGCTTATGTATATGCGTGTGTATGCCTGCCGTTTATGAATGTTTTTCCCAGGATGAATTTATCCGGCAGCGGCCACGGGGCAACGTGTGAAACGGAAACAGTGAAACGGTGACAGAACGAAGAGTGAATTTAGTTCTGTGTTATCAGGACCTGTCTGTCAATGATAAAAATGTGATCGTTTGCGTTTATTTTATCTTTAAAGTAACATTGTTAAGTACCGGTGAATGACATGAGTTCAGGAAATGGACAGCAAAGTGTTTTTTTTTGTTGTTTTTGTGACATGATTGGACAGGAACGACCACCCGGGCGTTCCTGGCCACCCCTTCCGGAAGGGGGGGGTAGCAACAATCAACTCCTATCCTTGTGTGCATTATCATTATTCTCTTCCTCTGTTTTGTTCTTCCTTTCTCCATTTTTTTTTTTTGTTTGTTTCCCACTCCCTTACTTCTCTCTCTTTTACTTCTTTCTTTTTCTCTCTCTCTCTGTGTTTCTCTTTCTCTCATTGTCTATCTTTCTTCTTCTCCTTCTCCTTCTCTCTCTCTCTCTCTCTCTCTCTCTCTCTCTCTCTTCTCTCTCTCTCTCTCTCTCTCTCTCTCTCTCTCTCTCTCTCTCTCTCTCTCTCTCTCTCTTCTCTCCTCCGTCCGTCCCTCCCTCTCAGCACATTTTCCCATCCCGCGACCGGGCTCCCGCGTCTTACCTGTTGCTCTACCTGTTGTGCTGTTGTCTCTCCTCGTCCCTTGTCACTATTCTCGTCTAGTTATCTATCTCTCTCTTCCCTTCTTTCGCTTTCTCCTCTCTCTTGCTTTCGCTTGCTCTCTCTCTCTCTCTCCCTCTTGCTCTTGCTTGCTCTCTCTCTCTCTCTCTCTCTTCTCTCTCTCTCTCTCTCTCTCTCTCTCTCTCTTCTCTCTCTCTCTCTCTCTCTCTCTCTCTCTCTCTCTCTCTCCTCTCCCTCTCCCTCCCTCCTCCCTCCCTCCCGCCCTCCCTCAGTTATCTATCAATTTATTTTATTTGTCATGAGATTCGAGTGCCTTATCCTTGTTTATTTTAACCTCGAACTTTTCTCTTTCCCTCTCGAGTGAACATTCCCACATAACACTTTCCTCCCCCGAACTCCCAGCGCCTGAGTTACGATCATGGGACAAATCAGCCTTAGGGAGTGGCTTCTGGGTGTTCCTTGGTATGGTATCTGGTGTTTTGTTTGACTTCAGGCGGGTCGATATGTGAACGAGGGGAGGGAGAAGGTATAGAATTTGTCTTTTCTCTTTTTTTTCTGTCTTTCTGGTTTCGGTTTGGTAAGTTTGTATATATATCTTTTTGGCTGTATGTCTTTCTTTTCGTAGACTTTTTTCTTTACTTTATTCTTATTTCCTTTCTTGTTCCTTTCTCTTTCTTCTTACCCCCCCCTTTCCTTCTCTTTTTCTTCTTACCCTTCCTCTCCTTCTCTCTACCTTCTTTCCCCCTCTCCTCTCTTTCTTCTTACCCCCCCTCTCCTTCTCTCTTCCTCCTTTCCCTCCCTCTCCTTCTCTCTTCCTATTTTCCTCTCTCCCTTTCCCCCTTTCTCCATTATAATGAAAGCCTGATGTTTGCCGTGATCCTCCTACAAGTCCACTCTCCTTCTCTCTTCCCCCTCTCCTCTCTCCCTTTCTCCCTTTTGATGAAAACCTGATGTTTGCGGTGATTCTCCAACTCCTCTCTCCTTCTCTCTTCCTCTCTCCCTTTCTCCCTCTTTCTCTCCCTTATGATGAAAGACTGATGTTTGCCAACTCCTCTCTCCTTCTATCTCCCTTTGCTCCCTTTCCCCATTATGGTGAAAGCCTGGTTTACCAACTCCTCTCTCCCTTTCTCCCTTATGATGAAAGCCTGATGTTAGCGGTGATCCTCAAACTCTCTCTTCCCCTCTTCCTCTCTCCCTTTCCTCTTCCCCCCCCCTCTCCCTTTCTCTCTTCCCCCCTCTCTCCCTTTCTCTCTTCCCCCCTCTCTCCCTTTCTCTCCCTTTCTCCCTTATGATGAAAGCCTGATGTCTGCGGTGATCGCTCGGTGCCGCGCCACTATGAATTTGTATTATGTGGACCGAGAATTGATTACTTCCTTTTTATGTATAGAGATGGCTGGCTCTTCCTTGGTCTGATTATGTAAATGTGGAGATGGAGGAGAGGGAGAGAGAAGGAGGGAGGAAGAGAGGGTGAGGGAAGGAGGGAGATGGAGGAGAGGGAAGGAGGGAGGAAGAGAGAGGGAGGAAGAGAGGGAGATATAAGAAGATAGAGGGATAGATAAGGGTAGTGATATGGAGAGGGAGGGAGAGATGGAGAGAGAGAGGAAGAGAGGGAGAGATGGAGAGAGAGATACGGAGAGAGGTAGAGATGGAGAGAGAGAGAGAGAGAGAGAAAGAAAAACATACGTGTCATTTTGATATTTGGAGTATTCGTCTGTCAGATCAGCAGTAGCTATCGAAGTATTTATCTACCAGTAGCTTCCGTTCTCTCTCTCGCACTCCTGCTCTCTTTCTCTCCCTTACTCACTCTCTCCCTCTCCCCTCCCTCCCTCCCTCCCTCCCTCCCTCCCTCCCTCCCTCTCCTCTCTCTCTCTCTCTCTCTCTTCTCTCTTCTCTCTCTCTCTCTCTCTCTCTTCTCTCTCTCTCTCTCTCTCTCTCTCTCTCTCTCTCTCTCCCTCCCTCTCTCTCCCTCTCTCTCCCTCTCTCTCTCCCCCTCTCTCCTCCCTCCCTCCCTCCCTCCCTCCCTCCCTCCCTCCCTCCCTCCCTCCCTCTCCCTCCCTCTCTCTCCCTCCCTCCTCCCTCTCTCCCTCCCTTCCCCCCCCCTCTCTCTCTCTCTCTCTCTCTCTCTCTCTTCTCTCCTCTTCTCTCTCTCTCTCCTCTCTCTCTCTCTCTCTCTCTCTCTCTCTCTCTCTCTCTCTCTCTCTCTCCATCCTCGCTTCCCCTCTCTCGGCGATTGCCCCAGAACACACCTGTTGCTTGGCTGGTGCGTGGTGACGGAGTGAGGGGAGAGGAGGAGTGAGGGGAAGGAGGAGTGAGGGTAGAGGGGAGAGAGGAGTGAGGGGAAGGAGGAGGAGGGGGGGGGGAGGAGAGAAGGGGAGTGCTGCGTTAGAGCGAGGGTTTGGATGTAGCGAGATGAGTGAGGAAGGGGAGGAAGAAGGAAGGGAGAAGGAGGAGGAGGAGGGAAGGGAGATTGGGAGAATTATCATTCGAGACGGTGAAGGGTCTAAGAGAGAGAGAGGGGGGGGGGAGATGAGAGAGAGAGAGAGAGAGAGAGAGAGAGAGAGAGAGAGAGAGAGAGAGAGAGAGAGAGAGAGAGAGAGAGAGAGAGAGAGAGAGAGAGAGAAAAAAAGAAGAAAGAAAGGGAAGAGATAGTTCCGTATCGCCAGAGGAAGCAAAAAAAAAAAAAAAAAAAAAAAAAAAAAAAGAGGGGAAGAGAAAGAGAACAGATAGAAAGGAGAAAAAAGGAAGGGGAAGTCTGTAAGCGACGAGAGAAAAATAAACAAAGTTTGTGCGAGGCATATGAAGTTCAGATAAATATTGCCCCAAAATGGAAGCGCAACAGGTGTTAATGATATCCACGCGGTAGGATGGGGAGAAGGTAGGGAGGGAGAGGGGGAAAGTAGCAAGGGAAAGGGAGTAATGAGGGAGAGAGAGGGAGTAGGGAGGAAGAGGGAGTAATGAGGGAGAGAGGGGGAGTAAGGAGGGAAAGGGAGTAGGAAGGGAGAGGGAGTAGGAAGGGAAGGGGAGTAGTAGGAAGGGAGAAGGATTAGGAAGGAAGGGGGAGTAGGGAGGAAGAGGTAGTAATGGAGAGGGATAGGGAGTAGGGAGGAATAGCGAATAGGATAAAATAGGGAGATAGAAATGGGAGAAAGGGAGGGGATGGTGGGTGTAGAGAGAGGGTGAGGGGAATACGGAATATGGGGGAGTGGGGAGGGAGTGAGAGAGAGAGAGAGAGAGGGGAAGGGAAATAGATGAAAGAACCTAGAGAGAAAAAGAGGGAAAAGAAGGGAGTAAGGGAGGTAGAGAAGGAGAGAGGAACTGAGAGGAATAAGAAGAGAAATAATGAGAAGAAATGAGAGGAAGATGAAATTATCTCGAGGGGATTAAAGGGAGGAAAGGAGGACAGAGAGGCGTGAGGAGAGAGCAAAGAGCGAGGAAGGGAGGGAGGGAGAAGGGTTGAAGTGAAATGAAGGGAAGTGAGTGAAGTAGGATGAAGTTTCCTTAAGAGGACTGAGGGGAGGCGAGGGGAACGCAGAGGAGTAAGGGGAAAGGAGGGAGAGTAAAGAGGAGATGAGGGGAAGCAGAGAGTGAAAAATCTGAGGTGAGGCGAGAAGAATGAGGAGGAATAGGGAGAAAGGGAAGGAGAGTAAAGAGGAGATGAGGGGAAGCAGAGAGGGAGTGAAGAGGAAGGAGAATAAAGAGAAGATGAGAGGAAGCAGAGAGGTGACAGATCTGAGGGGAGCCGAGGGGAACGCAGAGGAGTAAAAAGAAAGGGAAAGAGAATAAAGATGAAATGAGACGAAGGAGAATAAAGAGGAGATGAGGGAAGGAGAATAAAGAGGAGATGAAAGAATAAAGAGGAGATGATAAAGAGAGATGAGGGAAGGAGAATAAAGAGGAAATAAAACGAAGAAGAATAAAAAGGAAATGAGGCGAAGGACAATAAAGAGGAAATGAGACGAAGGAGAATAAAGACGAGAAGAGGAGAAGCAGAGAGAGAGAGAGGGAGAAGGAAAAGGGGGAATAGGCAGTGGGCGAGGGGAGAGCGGGACAGGTGACGGGTGAGATCGAGGAAGACTCTATCTCGCAGGACAAATATTTACTCGGTCGGCAAATGAGGATGATGGGCGGATGCAATATGAAAGGCGCTGAGGATAATGCTTTTGTTTCTGGGCCTGTGGTGGGTGGGTGTGTTTGTTTGTTTGTTTTTCGTTTGTGTGTGTATCCCTTTTTTTGGTATTTTGTCTATTATCCTTTTTGTTATTTTTTTTGTCTTTTTTTCGTTTGTGTGTGTATCCTTTTTGGTTTGTTTGTCTATTTTTGTCTTTTTTTCGTGTGTGTGTATTTTTTGGTTTTTTTTTTTTTCGTTCTGTGTGTGTGTATCCCTTTTTGGTTTGTTTATCTTTTTTTCGTTTCTATGTGTACCCTTTTTGGATATTTTATTTCTTTTTGTGCTTTTTTCGTTTGTGTGTGTACCCTTTTTGGTTGTTTTATCCGTACGTCTGTTCGTCTGTTCTTTAAAGCTTCCGTTTTGTCTGTTCAGAGTCGTTCGTCCATCCGTCCATTCATTTCTTCATGTCACCTTCATTCACTTCACCTCATCTCAACTCACTTCAACCTCATCTTAACTCACTTCACCTCTCTTTACTTCACCTCATCCATCCCATCCTTCCTTCCTTCCTTCCTTCCTTCCTTCCATCCATCTCATTATCTCATTCCATCTGTCCATGAAGCTATGAAGCCACCAGGTCAGCCACCCGCCAACCACCAACCAACCCATCCATCCTATTTCATCTTACCTCATCTTATCCATCCTATCCTATTTCCATCCCATCCCATCCAACTTCAACCTCCCTTCTCTTCACCTTCCCATCCATCCACACATCCATCCATCCATCCATCCACCCATCATCCATCCATCCATCCATCCATCCATCATCCATCCATCCATCCATCCATCCATCCACCCACTCACCCACCCACCCATCCACCTATCCACCCACCATCTATCTATCCACCCACCCACCCAAACACCCATCTATCCATCCATTCATCACCCAGTCACCCATTCACCTATCCACCCGCTGAAAAAGGGAAGGAGGAGGATGGAGTAGCGGGAGAAGTGTGTGGGCGTGGGGGGGGGGTAGATCTTTGCCGCCCACTTTGAAGACGAAAAGGCCGCCTGTCCACCATTAGAAGTGTGGGCGGCTCGTTTCGGGATAGTGGGGGATAGATAGAAGATGATAGAGGAAGAGGTAAAGGGTAAGGGAGAGGGAGTGAGAGAGTAGAAAGGAGAGAGGGAGAGAGAATGAGAGAGAGACAAAAAAAAAAACAGAATTGGTTTGGGCAAAAGGAGAGGTAGATTAGGAAGGAAAAAGACGATACTAATATAGAAATAGCAAAAAAATATATCATTGATTTTATTATCATTATTGTTATTATTGATATTATTATTTCTGTTGTTATTATTATTATTATTGTTATTATTAATAATATTTTTATTATTATTACTATTATCATTATTATTATTGTTACTGATATTATTATTATTATTATTATTATTATTATTATTATTATTATTATTATTATTATTATTATTATTATTATTATTTTATTATTTTAATTATTATCATTTATTATTATTATTATTATTATTATTATTTCATTATTATTATCATTATCATTATTATTATAGCTATTAGTAGTAGTAGTAGTTGTAGTAATGTTTTGAATATTATTGTTATTATTATTATTGTTTGTTGTTGTTGTTGTGTTATTAATATCCTAATTATCATTGTTATTCTCATTATTGTTACTATTATTCTCATTATTATTATTATTATTATAATTATTATTATTATTATTATTATTATTATTATTATTATTATTATTATTATTATTCTCATTGTTATTATTATCATTATCGCTATATCTCTTGTTATCATTATTATCTTTCGGAAAAGATCTATTAGAGTGATGAAAAGGGAAAGAAGAAGACAACGGATGATGATAATAATAGTACAATACAAAGAAAATACAAAAACGGGGAAACGGGATCAAGGTTATAAAAATAGATAGATAGAGAGGAGAGGGAGAGGAGAGGAGAGGGAGAGGAGAGGGAGAGGAGAGGGAGAGGGAGAGGAGAGGGAGAGGAGAGGGAGAGGAGAGGAGAGGGAGGAGAGGGAGAGGGAGAGGGAGAGGGAGAGGAGAGAGAGAGAGAGAGAGAGAGAGAGAGAGAGAGAGAGAGAGAGAGAGAGAGAGAGAGAGAGAGAGAGAGAGAGAGAGAGAAATGGAATCACGAAAGATAATATAAACATAAACTTGATGCTATTGATGGCTTGATGCTATTTTTAGAAGCCTCAGCGAGAGACCGTGTTTATCATATTACCTTTTCTTTGTGTTTTTGTTTTGTTTTTGTTGTGCTTTGTTAGGCGTATCATTTTATTGTTCGTAATCCGGTACGTTATAATAATTTTTCGAGCAGGAATAACGTTGTATTCAATTCATTTTTTTCATTTTTTTATTTTTTTCTGTTGTTTAAATCTCATAATACAAGTCTTTCGTTTTATGAGTTCTGTGAGTGGAATTTATCTATATAGAAGTGAAATTTGAGTGTGAGGTTATCTGTTTATGTTTTTTTTATTCCGTGAAATGCAGTTTGTGTCGTCGGAAAAGCATATATATGGGACCAAAGAGAAATGAAAAAATATGAAAACATAAGAAATTGTAAGTGAACCAAAGTGCAGTTAAAGAAAGAGAACGAGATAAGAGAGAGAGACGAACGAAAACGCAAAGAAAAGGAAAAAACGAATTAGAAACAGACGGAATAGAATAAACAAGAACACAAAAAAACAAACATTCCACTTCCTCGAAGGTTTTCACTCCCACCGTCAAAAAAAAATTCTTGAGCCAAGATGTTCTACGTCGACCTCATGGACGCCGCGTTAGGAGGAGGAGGAGGAGGAGAAGGAGAAGAGGAAGAAGAGGAAGAGGACGAGGAGGAACCAACGCTCGAGGACGACACCACGCCCACACCGCCCGATTTTCAGAGGTGAGGAAAAAAGCTGGATCTTTGAGATACGTAATGGAGATAGGCCTATAGGCGTCTTAAGGTTGCAACAGGGCATACACTACAAGAGGTACATAGAGGAGTATATATACAAATACTGGATGGTCAGGTTACGTCGGTAATCAGGTGAGCGACGACCTTGTATGAATAGTTGTATGAATGAACGCCGCTTCTACCATCTTCCTTTGTCGTGGGACCAGGCCTTGCTTTATGATGGAGGCTTGGGACCACTTCGGGAGGTGACCGTCGGTGTCTACGTGAACAACGAAGGCGCTTCTCGTGTCATGGCGTCGGAGAGCGCTGCGGTGTTGGCTGATCCGTTGTTCGTGCAGTCCTCGTGCTGTCTCGCCTATGTATACCTTATCACAGCCCCCACAAGGTATGCTGTACACCTGGATGAGGGGTCTGTTGTGGTTTGACCTCTTTTCTCTCACGATGTCTCCGATCTTCTTGCCTGAAGACGTAGCTATCTTGAGAGTACGGCCCACCAGGTCCTCCAGGTGCCCAGTCAATTCCGAGTGGGGGATGATTATCCTCGTGAGTTCTGCTCTGTGTGTCCTCACCTCTCGGCCTGCTCATGATCCTCTCGGCCTTGCGTCGGAGGTGGGCGAGCATGGAGCGGGGGTAGTGGAGGTGTTGGAAGGTGTTGCAGACGTGTTGCAGACGTGTTGCAGACGTGTTGCATCTCTTCCTCCAAGAACTCAGATGTTCTCTGACCAGTCGCCGGCAGTCGTTTTCTTAAATGTTTTTGTCAATTGAAACTTTCGTCTACATTATGAGCGTCGATGGATTTACGTTGAGGGTTAGTAGTTCGTGGTTGTAGTGCGGTTGTAGTGTAATTAACACTATTATCATTATTGTTATTTTATTAGCAGTATTATCATTATTGCTGTTGTTGTTATTGTTTTGTTATTATTGTTATTTTTGTTAGTGTTACTATTGTTATCATTACTGTAATTGGTTTTGTTATTATTTTGTTATTACCATTATCAGTATAGTAATGATAATGATGATAATAATAATAATGAATATAATTATTATTATCATTATTATGATCATTTTAGTAATAATAATGATAATAATGAAAAAGATATTACTATTATCATTGTTATTGTTATTATTATCATCATTGCTTTTATCATTATTATCCTCATAATCATTACTAATATAATGAAAGATAATGACTTATCATGGGAAGAATAAGATCAATCATTAGGGTTATTATTATCATTGTTACTATTTATTACTTGTCATTTTCATCATCATCATTGTTATTATTTTTTTTCTTATTATCATGAAGACCGTTATTATGATTATCATTATTTATACTACGTAACGCTACCACTACGATTAATATTACTCTCAACCATTTTATACGTTATGTGTGGCTGTGCGTGCGTGTGCGTGTGCGTGTGCGTGTGCGTCTGAGAGGAAGAGAGAGAGGCGATGTAGACCCAGACATCAAGGAGACGTCAGGAAGGAAATGAAAGACGTCAGGATTATTACACTCTTAACAAAGAACGCGAGAAGCTGTCTCTCCGGCCGAGGAAATCTGGGGGTACGGAGAGAAAATCGAAGGAATTGAGATTTTTGCTTTTTCGTAAACGCTGCCATGGCTCTCTCTCTCTCTCTCTCTCTCTCTCTCTCTCTTCTCTCTCTCTCTCTCTCTCTCTCTCTCTCTCTCTCTCTCTTCTCTCTCTCTCTTCTCTCTCTCTCTTCTCTCTCTCTCTCTCTCTCTCTCTCTCTCTCTCTCTCTCTCTCTCTCTCCTCTCTCTCTCTCTCAGCGCACGCGCACACGCACGCACACGCACACGCACACGCACACGCACACGCACGCACAGGCACACGCACGCACAGGCACACGCACGCACAGGCACACGCACGCACACGCACGCACAGGCACACGCACGCACACGCACGCACAGGCACACGCACGCACACCAACAGCCACACACAACGTATAAAATGGTTGTATGAGTAATTAGTAATCATAGTGGTAGCGTTACGTAGTATAGATAATTATCGTGGGTATAAAGTTTGGTGTGTTGGGTTGTCTCGTTATGTTGGTGTTTAGAGGTTTATGTAAGTTTGGATTTAGGTTTTTGTTTGTGTTTTTTTTTGTCTTATTTGTTTGTTTTATATGTTTGTTTGATTGTTTTATTATTTTTTCGATTGTTTATTAGTGTTTTTGATGATGGTAACGTTAGTGGGTTATGTGTATTTTGATTCAATTATTTGTTTTTTGTTTTTAATGATTCTGTAAGATACATGTAGTAAGATTAAGTTATTTCTTGTTAGTGTATTTAACTTCTTATTTATTTGTGTTTTTTATTATCCATTGTGTTTGTATATTTACTTTCTTTTTCATTAATTTTTTGAGGCTAAAAGTAAAAAAAATATATGGTTTCATGTATTGGTCTTAAGGAATCCCCAATAGAACAGAATTTGTAAGTTTTTCCTTTCCAAAAAGCACCAGGAAAATGTTGATATATTTTGATCTGTGTCGTGATGATGAGTTAATTGTTTGTGATGTTGTTTTTGTTGTTGATGTCCCACTTTCCGGGTGCTTATCTTGAGAAAATTTATCGTTGTGTTATAAATGAATTCGTAATTTTATCTGGGATATGTTGTATACGTAAAGATCGAGTTTCATACATTTCCTTTCTTTTGTCTCCTCTTGTCTCTCTCGAATCTCTCCTCTCTCTCTCTCTCTCTCTTCGTCTCTCTCTCTCTCTCTCTCTCTCTCTCTCTCTTCTCTCTCTCTCTCTCTCTCTCTCTCTCTCTCTCCCTCTCTCGCTCTCGCTCTCTCTCTCTCTCTCTCTCTCTCTCTCTCTCTCTCTCTCTCTCTCTCTCTCTCTCTCTCTCTCTCTCTCTCTCTCTCTCTCTCTCTCTCTCTCTCTCTCTCTCTCTCTCTCTCTCTCTCTCTCTCTCTCTCTCTCTCTCTCTCTCTCTCTCTCTCTTGGCCAGTGGATGGCAACCCGTGCACGCAGGGGGAGATTTGGAAGCAAATAAAACAGACAGTATGTCATAGCAAAAAATATCCATTGTAACAAATAGAATGAAAACTAACTCTTAAAAAGAAAAGAAATTATCTTTCTCTCTCTGTCTCTCTCTGTATTTTTCTCTTTGCATCTATGTATCCATCTGTTTACCTTTCTATTTATCTATGCATCCATCTCAATTATTTTTTCTCCCACCCCTTCTCCCTTTCGTTCTCATAATGTACTATTCCTTCTTCTGCCACATGAAGATAACCTGTCGCTGTCGTGCACTTGGCAACCCCAACTTGCACTCTGCAGTTATGACGTCACTAAACCTCTATCGCAAAGTTGCACTATCCTGAACCCTTTAAACACTGCTAGAAGAATCATTATTGTGAGTGGTGATATCATCAATTATTATTGTTATTATTATCATTATTTGTATTTCTCTTTGCTTTTGATATTTCGTGCCCCATTTTATTATCTGATTATTGTGTTATCTGTTTTATTTTATATGTCGTATAATCATTTATGTGTCGTGCTGTGTTATATTTGTTATATGATATTTTATAATCTGTTAAATGAGTTGCAATCTGCTTATTTGCTTTTTTATACGTAATTGTTCGTATTCAAAGTAGTTAAAGAATTATTACATTTTACAACAGTTGTACAGACACTAATACCAAATATTACCTTTCGCAAATATAACCCTTTCACCAAAGCGTTTACAACAAACAAAAAAATAACCTTCCAAACAAAATACAATATAAAAATAACACAGCATTATGACACAAAAATATAACAGACAAATCTCATTTCTCAAAAAAAAAATAAATAAATAAAAGCATTATCACGCAAAAATATAATAGACAAATCTCATTTCTCAAAAAAAAAAAAAAAAAAAAAAAAAAAATTCCGCATCTCAAAATGTTCACAAGAACGCGAGAGAACGCACTTGCTGTTGTGACGTGAGGGCAGGTATGTTTGAGTGGTCCCAGAGTGGTCACTAGTGGAAGGGGGTCTTAATACCAAGGTCAGAACACTTGCGGGGTCCTTCAGTGTATAAAGGGTTGGGATGAACAAGCTAATAGAAAGGTATATTTTTTATGCGTATGTACTTGCAGACACATACTTTACATGTACATGTATATATACATATATTATTATTATTGTTATTGATATTATTATCATCATCATCATCATCATCATCATCATCATCATCATCATCATCATCATCATCATCATCATCATCATCATCATCATCATCATCATCATCATCATCATCATCATCATCATCATCATCATCATCATCATCATCATCATCATCACCATCATCATCATCATCATTATTATTGTTATTATTATTATTGTTGTTGTTGTTGTTGTTTTTATTATTAACATTTTATTGTGATAATCATTATCATTGTTTTGTTTATTGTTATTGTTGTTGTTGTTGTTAGGATCATTGGTATTTGAACAATCATTATAAACATTGTTGTGATTATTATCATTATTATTACTTTGGCTATTATTATCATGTATATTGTGTTTTTTGTTATTGTTAACACTATTATTTTATGATGATTATAATTATTATTATCATTATCATCATCATCATCATCATCATTAATATTATTATTGTTATTATCATTATTGCAGTTGTTATTATTGTTATTATTATCATAATTTTTGTTATTATGTTATTATTATTATCATTAATATTGTTATTGCTATCATTATTAGTTATTA